TCAACTCAGTTGATAATCCCAAATTACCTTGACTAGTAGACTGATTGGTCAGAACACTAAGACAAAGGGCTAACAATCAAAACATCAGCTTTGAAACTCTTTATGGTGGCCAATTTACATTATCAACCCAATTGATAACACTAAATTACCCTGTTATACTCTCCCACCGATGCAGCACCACAGGTTCTTTAGAAATTTACCTGCTTGATTGATTGACTGACTGATTGACATGAATGAATGAGCGAGTGAGTGAATGCAATAAAAATTTTTACCTGATCCTACGCCAAATACTGATCCAGCTGCTCCAATGATAGCACCCTCTCCTCCAGAGCTACCCCCAACTATTTTGGACCTGTTAAATGGATTACTAGTCCTTCCATAAACCCGATTTGCTGACTCCCACCACATGCATAATTCACTGCAGTTAGAAATAGCTATTGGGATAGCACCAGCCTGTCGTAAACGACCCACAGCAACTGCATCTTCTTCGGCTATGCAGTCTTTACGAGCCACGAGACCACCACTATTAGGCAAGCCTCTGACCGCAAAAGCTTCTTTGGCGGTAAATGGCACACCCAGGAGAGGTTTCTCGTTCTCCAGTTCGTCTCTCTGAATTTGAGTCATCTTATGAAGTTCCTCGTCGACCTCTCTCGCCTCAGCCAAAGCCTCTGAGAAACGATTAGCGACCACTGCATTGATGCTACCATTGACTGCATTTATCCTGTCAATGAATACTTGCAAAAGTTCCTCAACACCAATTTCTAATCGGCGAATTTTTAATGCAAGTCTCGTGGCCGGAAGTTGTAAGTAGCTATGAATGGGTGCCTGGAACACACTGTTACTAGACATAATTTCCTCTCCTCCGCTCTCGATTCACAAATTGTTCCTAAAGCGCTTATATTTCTTTACAGAATGAGAGTCTCTCTGAGATCAGTTCCCTGAAAAATAAGGGGAATGTTGTTGTCCACAGTAAGAAGTTAAGAAATTTTCGTTATCTTCTTCAGCTCCAAATTTTTCCCATCGTTCCAAGAAAACTCCAATATTCCCATGAACCATTGCTGGCGGACAATCAATGGCGGAAGCCGGCAGCGTGGAAATTCTATGAAATTTGCCCGGTTGATTTCATCAACCTCTGGAATTTGGACTAAAAATAGCTCACAGTTTCTTTTAAATACTTTCTCACATAGATTTTTTGCCAGATTGAATTCTAGCGCCATGGAAAATCAGGGAAGTGCAACTGCCAACGGCGCGGTGGAGAAGACCGCCAGTCAGCTCAAGAAAGAGGCCCAAAGGCAGGCAAAGTTGGAAAAATTCGCCAAAAAGAAAGAGAAGGAGGCAGCTCAGATGGAGGGTCAGAACCAGGTAATTTTATAGCTTCCTTCAATTTGACCCTATTTTTTAAAGGATCGAGGCTCTCATTGTAAACATGGGAAGTTTTAGTAAGTTTCGGGGGAAGAAAACTACCACGATCGGAGTTCAATCCTCGACCACGATGCACGAATATTTGAAATGTGACTATTTTTCGTACCAAGTGTTTGAATAATATAAATTTTTCGGATTATTGCTAAGTCCTAGTTTACTCCGGAATGGCTGCTGCAAAAGAACATCCTTGAAGTCCCCACTTGTAAACAGCTTTCACAATATTGCATCAGCCCTGTGAATGGGGGAAGGGGGATTTTGGAGGGAGGGGTGGGTCACCCTTCTTAACTTGAACCCATATAAAATGATAGGGAAAGGGCAACAGTGTTTTGTCTTTTTAGGAGTTTTACTTGTACAGTGATTATTCAAGTGAACCCAGATACCTTTAGGTTGCTAGGTCTCTCCAAACACAATTAACCCTTTAACTCCCAGAAGTGATTATCATGTAAATTCTCCTGCACACAGGTAATAAGAACACTAAAATTTATAAAGTAGAAGTTATTGTCTTTCTCTGACACCAAATTCTCTAAACTAATTTTCAAGGAAATGTGAAGCAGTTAGAGGGGAGAATTGATAATCAGATCATGGGAGTTAAAGGGTTAAGGTAATGTAAGGTTAGAGATAAGTACTTAAAAATCTATAAGAATTACCATGTATAGTTATATAATATTTATATTTATAATATTACTATAAGAATTACCATGCATATTTTATATTTGCAACTTTTATTTCATGTAGAAAAAGAAGGATAAAAAGAAAAAAGAAACAACCAAGAAAGTTTTTGTGTATGACAAACCAACAGCTCCAGGAGAAAAGAAAGGTGAAATATTTGATGGATGTAACTTGTATTTTTCTGATAGCGCATGTATACTACACTGTGAATTAAATAATAATGTCATTTCATAGTTTCTAATTAACTATTGCAGCATTTTCAAGTTGAGCCTTCTCAATAAGAAACTTGTGAACATTTGAAGTGTGAGAGTTATGTATATGGCCTCATGCCAGCATTTGTCATTTATCAGTATTGTATGGGGTAGCCCTATGGAGGATTTAACATGTTTTCGTTCTTGTTGTAACATGTAGATGTCAGTGGAGTTATGCCTGATAGTTACAGTCCTGTTTATGTGGAAGCTTCTTGGTATGCTTGGTGGGAAAAGGAGGTAAGCATGTATTGGAACTAAAGTTTTGACTTGAAATTTTTACAGCAGTTGGAGCATGATAATCTGTGTAGGATGTTTGGAGAGCACTTGAAAATTTTGTCAATCGGGTACCACTTATAATTTACTAGTGCTCTGCCAACATTCAAAGTGAATTACTTGGCCAGTAAACCAGAAGGGGGATGGATTTTTTGCTTTTATAGATAAGCTATCGTAATGGGATTATCAGAAATCTCAGTAAAAAACAGGTTTTTGATTCATCAGTATTCAGTTGTGTAGTGCAGTATCAAATTTTTTTCGTAATTGACAACAATTGCTGAGCCTGAGAGAGATTGTTTATAGTAAGTTGCATCATTCAATCAGATGATTATCTTTTCTTTCATCTTACTTGTTTCCTCTTCAGAAACATTAATGAGTTTTGTGGTGGATTAATTTAAAATCAGGGCCTCATCAAATCAATCTCCTAAAACAGGCATATTTCAATAGTAAAGATATGATATGAAAATTTAATATTTTGAAATCATATGTTTACAATAATTATGTTACATGCACCTTTTCACTGAAAGCATGCAATTTTATTTCCAGGGATTTTTCAAGCCTGAATATGGGGTAAGATGAGTCCAAATTAATTAATAAACTTTTTTGCTACAAATTCAAAATGACACAATTTACTAGTTTTGAACTTCCTTTTCTGTTCTTCGTTTTTCACTGATTTAGAATTTACAAGTGCAATTAAAACATAACACCTGCTAATTAAAGATAGTAAATTTCAGTAACTTACCTTGTAAACTTTGTAACATTGTTTGCATTTTTCATCATAAACAGCGCAAGAGCCTTCAAGAGCCCAATCCAAAAGGTTTATTTATGATGTGTATTCCTCCACCCAATGTGACAGGGTCACTTCATCTTGGCCATGCCCTCACTAATGCTGTTGAAGACTGCATAACAAGATGGTAAGAAAATTGCCTATTTTTGGCCATGATTAGTGTAGTGTTTCTCTGGATGTGGAGACTGACTTCTTTAACTTACAAAACCACATCTTTGTCAATGCTGCAATTATATAAACCACTACTTGGCTTTGTTGCTATATCCTAAATTATTAGTCTAATAAATGCTGTTTGTTTGTAAACTAATAAGGACATGATTTCTCTAATTAGGAATCGTCAGATTGGAAAGACAGCATTATGGAATCCAGGGTGTGATCATGCAGGAATAGCCACACAGGTATTTGAACCCTTCAGTACTTGATATGTTTTGTATAATTCTCTCTTACTGCTTCTTGTTAAATTTCCTTTTACAACTTGTAAACATAATTTGATTTATAGTGTCAACCCCTTCACCCTTGCACCTTCTAATAGATAGAATTATGGATGAAGTTATGAAATTCAATTTGTGAGGAGGAGGTCCTAATAATCATTTCTACAAGTTTATTGGTTGACCACAATAGTCTTACTGACCTACAATCTTTCATGGCTGCAATAAATCTGATAATTCCATGGATAAGAGACTTTGTCAGATTTTGAATGAACTCAACATGTACATTGTGGGACAGTACTTTAAGAGTTAGATCACTTTTAGTCAGTGCTTTACTCTTCTTTCAGGTAGTCCTGCATGTAATTCCATGGAAAGACTTAATTCCTTTTCACTCTTTACACACTAACAACAGTATACATATTCACGATACTGTACCCCAT